TCCTCAGTATGCATATTTTTTCACTTAGATGTACATACATACATATATATATTTATCTATTTATAAGCACAAAATAAATGTATGATTTATTAGAGGAAAGTTTTTGTGATAAGCTGTCAAAGTGGGACACGAGTGTGTCTTGTCCTACCATCGGAGCACAAAAGTCCAAACATCGAGTCAAATGTCATGAGGGACAGAGCCGAATCAGAGGAGCATTCATTGCACGCATTACACATTAATTAAATTAACTGTGAGCGAGACGCGGGCAGTGGTATGTGGGGGTCATTATTCCTATTTGCTGTTCGCATGTCAAGTCTTGGCCATAGATAAAGCAGAACAGAGCTCTGGCGATATAACAGCAATAAACACACACTGAGCATAGCATGAATCAGAGACGGACTTTATGGGCAGCGACTCTCACTGCCGATGGGAAGAGTCTTTGGTGAGTCATAGGTGTGGGCATTTGCCAATGCCTTTGGGCCAAAGCGGGCATTAATAACTGGAATTCAGAGTTGGCTTTGGGGGCCAATGGGAATGAATGCGAATGCAAGGCCCAACAGTTTCAACAGTTGGCGAGCGCATGACGCATGAGGAAAGCAGCTCGCAGCATCACTTGCATAATATTAAGTTTAATTCAATTGACAACAAGATTATATGTATATGTGTGTGTGCAGTGTATTTATGTGGATTGCATTTCAATGGTCAATTTCTGTTTGCATTCAATTACAGCTACGCCAATTAATCGTGCTCGCAGTTGCAGGTTCAATAAACGCGGCACTGTTAATTAATCATAATACAAAGAGGAAGCGATTGCATTTAGCTCTTTGGAAAATGCAGTGCGGACTGGAACAGATGAACGACTGCGAGCGCTCGCCGAACCGAACAAATCTGCGCGTCAACTTCAATGAGAAGGGCTCCGAGGTCAAGGAGCGACGCGAAAAGTTTCTCACAGCCAAATATGGCTCACATCAGATGAGCCTGATCAGGAAGCGTCTGGCCGTCGAAATGTGGCTATACGATGAACTGCAGAAGCTCTTTGATCCACCGGTAAGTGACAGCGCGCCATGACTCAGACCCAGACAGATCTCTTATTTATTGTCTTCTTGTGCAGAGCGAGGCGATCGATGTGGATATTGATGAAATCTTAGACATGGACACAGACGACATAAGAAGATCTCATCTTATTGTGAGTATTATGACTCGACTCCTGGTCGATCTTTAATCTCTTATTTAAATGTATTGTTTTCTTTAATATGTACGCCTTGCTCTCTCTCTCTCTCTCTCTCTCTCTCTTTCTTTCTGCAGAGATTACTCGCAGTGTGCAAACGCCCGCAATCGGACATATCGAAGTTCATCAGCGATCTGCTGGATCGCGCAAAAACGCTGTAAACTGCGCTGTTTCTTCTATAAAGAATATAATAATAATTATACAAATAATAATAAATATTAAAAGAAATCATTGAATTACATACATATATATACTAACATATGAAATGCAAGCGAAATACAATTTAATTTTAAGTTTAGCCGCTTTAAGATCCAAGAACAAAGAATAAAACTTATGCAATTTAATTATAATTTTACAAGATTTTGCCCAATTCTATCTATAGTTTTCCTTTTCATAACTGTATTTTCAATGCTAATTTCAAAGTCTAGACTTAATTTAAAAACAAACACCGATAAAATGCATCGTTAGCCATAAGAATGTTTGAATCGTAAATTCATCAATTTTGTGATGATATTTCATAAAAACAAAATCAATACAAAAACAAAACAAAAAAACAAAAAATGAAAAGAAAAGAAAAACATATATTTATAATAAATGGCCTGAAAAATGATATAAAATTATTTAGTTATAATGCAAATGGAGTTTTTTTCTGAAAGCGTGTGTAGTTAAAACTATTTTCAGTGAAGAAAAACTTCAATAAAATATTTAAAAACAAAAACGAAATAAAAAATAAAACACTCTGGTTGTTGCAAATACATATTATTTTCTTTGCTAATGTGTGCTTAATTATATTTATTTAAATGAATCAATCAAACATCATAATACATATGTTCTCATCATGTGCTTAAATATTGTAGCTACCTTAAAGATGATTTGAATAAAGTTGTGTACAAGATATTTAATGGAAATGTTTGTGTAAAGTAAATTGAACAAGAAAACAAAGAAGTTAGCTCAGGTTCACTGCCAAAACGTGGAGTAAGAATGTCGCGAATGAAACCGTTACAAACTGAAAAATAAATACAAAATACAAACGATACAAATTTGATACATCTGATTGTTCAAGAAAATATATTTATACCCTACAAAAAAAAAGAAGGAAAAAATTTACATGTATATGTAAAATAAAAATAAATAGTTTTAGTTTTTGTTTTTATTTAATTTTGTTAATATTAAATGGAACTTCATTTGATGTTCCACTGAGCCGACAGTTGCAATATAAAAGTACATACACAATTATTCAAAGCACAAAGAATTTCATAATACATAACTTAAACAATGTAAATAAAAGGGTTAACCGCTAGACCCACACAAAACCCAATCATAAGATTACGACATGAATTTCGACACATCAAACACCCAATCAAATTAATTTGTAAATACCTTGATGAAGCATTCAAGTTCTTCACTCCACGATTCTCTTTGTAGTAGATACTAGTATTTCTAGCAATTGAAATCTAAACATACAAGTATTTTAAATGTGCTCAATATGGCAAAGGAGTAAACAAAATAATAAATGAAAACAAGAAAAACGAACATACATTTTATAAACCACTTTAGCACTTTAATAATTGATCGTAAGTCTTCTCGAATGAACGGATAAATGCACTCTCTTCTATGATTCTACTCTACTGTATGCTCTATTAATTATGGCCACACATAGTATTAGTAGACTCTCTCAACATGCTCTTTGCATAAATATGATAATATATAAAACACATACATCATTTTAGGTGCTCATTAAGCCAAACACGCATACCTAATTGAACATTATATAGCTCCAAATTAAAGCATTATACATTATACTTAATCATGCACATTAAATCTCATTTAACATTCATAATTGAAGCAAAAGTATGGAAAGAAATGAAAATACACACACGCTATGGCATACGGAAAGCTGTAAGGTATGCTAAACGTATTTATAAATGGCAAAAAGTTTACAATAAAATTTAATTGCTTTAGAGAAACAAAGAAATTGAGTTGTTTTACTTAAACGGGTGTAATTATATTTATTCAAAAAGCGATAGCTCTTGGTGCTGCTACCAAAATATATGAATCGATAGCTATTGGTGAGCGTGGCGATATTTGAGATACATCGATATATTTGCTGCCATCTCAGCTTGTTTATGTTTGCCTTGTTTTTGTTACCGCTGCATGCAGAATATGAGCTCCGACAATTTCTATACCTGGAAATATCCAGACATACCTGAAAATGTTGAGTAAGTGTTAAAAAATATAATAAGCAAAACTTGACCACGTACAATTCTACAGATCTATGCTAGCAGAGCTGAACAACTCGCTGGTGGTTGTCGGCGTTATTGGGCGCTCGAGAGGCTCGCAGGCGAACAAAATGAGCGCCTTCGACATGAGGCCGAATAAGTTGCATGAGCCGGCGGATGGACAGATACTGTGCTACTATAAGCCAGGCACCAATACGCTGATGCTGCACTTTGAGACCACCTACGATGAGGTGGTGCTGAGCCAGCAGCTGCTGAGTCAAACCTCTATTGACTTCGACATCTTTTACTACCAAATGCGTAGTCGATTTGTACGCAATTTGCTGTTGGCGTTGCACGTGTGCCACATTGTGGTTTATGCCGAGACCGCAGAGATATTTGACACAACGCTGGTGACCATCTGCCAGCTGCTAAAATATGTACGCGAGCAGCATGTGCTAGAATTCCTGCTCCAAATGCTGAACGAAACAAGTGTAGGCCCAATGCTCGGCGACCAAGCTCGCCTTTGCACGCCGCGTGTGCTCTTTCTGTTTGAAAACTACCCGCGGGATGAGGAGAAGACACGTGATCAAATATCCGGCTATGAGTTTAAAACGGAGGACCAGATCTACCAGCTGCTGCGCCAGTACAACATTTTGACCAATAACGTGAACACCTCCCTGGTGGCGCTGCCCAACAACAAGCAGTTTGTGTACTACAATGCTCACGAGGAGCTGCATCCGGATCAACTGTCGCACGCCATTGAGGCGCTCAACATGACCATGAACAAGCCAGATGCCAAAGAAGAGGAGGAAGACTTGGAAATTATATCTCTTGCGCCATTCGAGGGCTTTGTGAAGCCCTTTGCTGCGGATTTTCAAACTCGCGACTCCAAGGAGCATGACTACAAGAAAAACCATACCGCTTGGAATTTCCTGCAGCGTCATGTGCAAGATGCCCTGCAGGGTTACTTTGACGAAGGCTCCTTCAAGCTGTTAACGCAAACGCCACAATACCAGCTGCTGAGCGCGAGGGATTGGCACATCTGCATGGCTGAAATACACAGACTGCTGATTCAAAATGTGCACGATGCCAACTACGTAACAGATAACACAATCTATGTAAGAAAATATATATTATAAACCTTTATTTTCTGTAATTATTCATTATAAATCATTGCAGCAAGCCTATCTGCGGGACTTTAAAGAGATTCTTAACTATGAGGAAAAGTAAGTGAGGAGTTTATTAAAAATACGTTTGTTAACTAATTCTATTCCTATCAGATTCTGGGGTCATCTCTGCGAGCTGGGCCTAAAGAAGGGCGTGTCCGCCTATAGGCTTGCTGCGCCTGCCATTTACGGCAGCGCCACCCACAACCAGCTGCTGGCGGATGCCACGCTGGCCTTCGAGGAGGAAGGACGCGGTCCGTATGTGAAGATGGCGCTGGCCAAGCTCAGCGATGTCTGCCTGAAATACTGGCACGATGGCCGGCAGCAGTGCGAACAGCTCAGCCTGCGCGGCCATCCCTGCACCATGCCCAAGGATCTGGCGCACGACAAGCACAGCAGCGGCATTGTGCACATCTCCAGCTGCAACTGCGGACGCACGCAGGGCAGGCGCGAGGATCCGTTCACGCTGCGGCAGGCCAACTATGACTACTACGAGCAAATGGCGGTCATGTGCAACTTGTGCGTCAAGGTCAAAAAGTTTCAGTTTCCCCTGTTTACGCCTTCAATTAGTGATTATCGAGCGGCGGCATTTGAGGCCGCCTTCCCGCTGCTGTTGGCGAATAAAAACCGAATCGAGCCTGCCGTTCAGGGACACAGCGATCTGGACGCCGAGGCAGCTGACGAGCTTTACTCACAGCCGATCAAAGTGGCCGAGCCAGCGCCACAGAAGCAACACCAAACCTTGGGCGACTGCTGCTCACAGCCTCTTTCGGCAACCTACGGCTCCGACTTGAACATGTCCATAGCGGGCTTCGGCGATTCGCTCAACGAGGGCGAAGAAGCAGAGTCTCCCGAGATCAGCTCTCAGATATGCAGCAGCGGGCAGAGCAGTCGCAATCGCAGCCGCAGCAACAGCCCCAGCAGCGACACGTCCAGCGCCAACACGCAGAGCGAGTTAGTGCTGCACCTGAAGGAGCGCAGCGACCAGAAGACTGCCACCGAAGCACTCAGCGACAGCTGTCCCGAATCGCAGCCGGTTGCTTCGATGCCAGAGGTAGTCTCTACCACGGAATATCTGCCCGGGCTGGTGCACATGTGCAGTGGGTGTGAGCTGCTGCCGCTGTTCCCCAGTTGGTCGCTGGCTTGCGTGGGTCCCAGCTCCATTTATAGCCACAACACCGGGCTGCAGGAGCACTTCCAGAGCGGCTTCCTCTCGGGCGCCAATTTCTTGCTACCCTGGGACGTGCATGTGCGACTGCTGCAGCCGCATCACAAGCATCCGATGCAACAGATGGGCAAGAAGAATCAACGCTATCGCAAGCAAGGCGATCGCCTCGCCCTCAAGATCTTCGTGGGCCTCGAGTACGAGTGCTCGCGTGGCCATCGCTTCATGATGTGCAGTCCGGATCGAGTGCTGCGCGGCGCTGCGGACATCGAACGCGACACCTGCAGCAAGCTGATCAACAACAATATGCCACTATACTTCCCCTGCCCGTGTCGCGGCCAGGTCAACTTTCTGGCGCAGCTAATGCGCATTCATGTGGTCACCCCGAAGGCGCCCGTCAACATCATAGTCGATCCCAAGGTGCGTGTGGGCAAGTACACCTTCACCCTGGGCTGCACCGTGTTGCCGCGTCTCTCGCAGAGCGCCTACTGGATACTGCGCTTCCCCTATGTCTATCAGGGCGACAATGTGCTAATAGCGCCGCCGGCCAAATTCGAGCCAGACGATCCCTTCGCCAGTGGCTGTCTGCTGGCCGGCATGTTTGGCATTGCCGAAACCGACACCGCAGATGCGACTCTTTTAGCCGGCGCACCACTCAATTTTACAAGACTTTGAAGCATTTGCTTACCATCAATTACATAGATTCGTTAACAGAATGAAAACAATGTTATGTAAAAAATGTTAACTGGGCTGAGCTAGGTATAAAAACCTAGTATAGAATGTCATGATGATATAGAGGCTTGCGTGTTTTCTCTTCTCTACTCTACTATTATAACTTTTAGCGGGATTTCTAAAGTTAACATTACAACTCCTTCTAAAGGTACTTTTCTTAGTAGCGAAATTATACAGATTAATTACAATACATTCAAGAATCCCTTTCCTTCCAGTAAACGTCTCTTAAATTAAATA